CTACCAACCAAAGGGAACTCCCCAAAAGGGAAAGGGAAGGGAAAGGGAAAAGGGAAAAAGGGACAAAAAGGGATACAAAAGGGACAAAAAGGGACAAAAAGTTAAATGCTCCCCTCGAGAGGAAGCGAACCACACCACACAGCTACCACAGCACTGTCCACCTCTCAAGGCCAACCAGACACGCCAGGCTTCACTCCCTCACCCGGGCAGAGCGACAGTAGAGCTACCTCTACCTTGGGTCCGCCGGAAGAAAGAGAGCGAGAGCTTCGTCTCTCTCCTTAATTATACTCTTGCTTACGTAAAATCGTATGGAATACTGGGAACATGACCTTGGTTCCTTGGTTACAACCTGATCACCAAGGAATGCCTAGATTCAAAACCACTACATTCTCCACCCCTTATTTCATACTACTTTACGTAACATTTATATTTCACGTGTTTGCTTATATCTCGCGCATATATACATATATATATATATAGTCGTTTGGAGTAGTTGTTTTGTGGTAGAAGACTGATTTCAGCATCAACAGTAGCTCGGTTCAGATCCTTGGCACTTCAGTTACAATCACAGCTCAGGTTTAGGACTGGTTTATTGTTTTATCGTCACGTACTGGTATCAGCATTGGTCAGGTCTCTCTCATTTGGTGACTGGTCTCCTGTAAAACAACTTGAAGCACAAAGTTTTTTCCCAAAGATAAATTTTCTTGAGGCATGCACTGTATCTTTCCATCCTTCCTCATCACCCACCATGTGTACTCTGGCCCTTGAGTGAAGACAACTCCACGAATGGGTTTGTCTTGGCCCTAGGTAGGGGCAACCCAAACGGCTTTACCCAACATACCTCTCAGGTGAATCACTGGAACTTTGTCTCCATCTACAGTGTGGAGGGATTCTGCTTGGGCAGGGATAGCTCGGTTGACAGAGACTCTAGTATTTATCAACCAGGTGGTCTTGGCTAGGTGCTTATTCCAGTTCTTAAATTTTCCCTCACATAGTGCTTTTAAAGTTGTTTTTAACAGTCCATTATATCTTTCAATTTTCCCAGCAGCAGGTGCATGATATGGAATGTGATAGACCCATTCAATACCATGCTCCCGTGCCCACGTGGTCACTAGATTATTCTTGAAATGAGTTCCATTGTCTGACTCAATTCGCTCTGGAGTGTCATGTCTCCACAAGACCTGCTTTTCCAGACCCAGAATGGTATTCCGGGCCGTTGCATGGGGCACTGAATATGTCTCCAACCATCCAGTGGTTGCTTCCACCATGGTAAGCACATAGCGCTTACCTTGGCGGGTCTGTGGCAACGTGATATAATCGACCTGCCATGCTTCTCCGTATCTATACTTGTCCCAGCGTCCACCATACCATAGGGGCTTCAATCTTCTTGCCTGCTTGATAGCAGCACAGGTTTCACAATCATGGATAACCTGGGAAATAGAGTCCATGGTTAAATCCACCCCTTGGTCTCGTGCCCATCGGTAGGTGGCATCTTGGCCCTGATGACCTGAAGCATCATGGGCTCATTGGGCTAGGAATAACTCTCCCTTATGTTGCCAGTCCAGGTCTATTTGTGACACTTCAATTTGCGCATCTTTATCCGCTTGTCTGTTGTTATGATGTTCTTCGTTGACTCGACTCTTGGGTACATGGGCATCTATGTGGCGGACTCTCACACTTAGTTTCTTTACTCTAGAAGCGATGTCTTGCCACAAATCAGCAGCCCATATGGGTCTTCCT